GACCGCTGCATTGATGAAGCATGATTCCATCAAAGACAAGGCAGTGAGAGATTGTGGCAGCCTTACGCAGTCGATACATGGCCACAACTTTGGCATGTGAGGTGAGATTAGGCAGCGACAGCAAAGGACTTTGTCCTAGGGACATGTTTGTCAGCTGTGCTGTTTGGGTCTGATCTGACTGATGTTTTGCAGCTGGGGAAGAAAAGAGACAACCGACATGTTTGGCCGCCAATCTCGAAAAAGGCCCAGGTTTACCACTATTGTAAGGAACCAGGGTTTCGAGGTCTACGGTTAGTCTTTGGAGTCTTTCAGTGGTCACTGGATCCACTCAGAATGCTTTCCATCTCCACTTCGGCCTTCACCTCGACCGGTGTCCGGCGCTCTTTCGCCGGACCGGACGCGCGATGTCCGCCGCGCACTGTTTCCTTCCGGTCCAACGACCATCAGCCACTAGCCCCTTCGGTCCGGAACCACTCCCTTCGGCCGATGACGAGCCCGATGGCGGCGAGGTCGAAGCTCTTTGTGCTGTCCCAGTCCGAGTGACTTGGAGACGGATGACGTGGCGGATGACATGGCGTGGTGGGGTGTGTGTGTGTGTGTGTGTTTGGCAGGTCATGGACGGTCCAAAGAATGCGAGGAACTGATGGAAGAGGTGTTGAACAAGGGGGTTCAGAATCGCTTGCATTCTTTCGATTCTCAGGCATATTCAATATTTGTTGATTCCACATATGTCCTGTTTTCGGGGGAGGTGAACATCACCCAGATGGGCTGACACTCTCATCAACTATGGCCCATCAATTTATTCAAACGAAGGTTCCCAGCAGAGGCTTCTTCAGCAAGCCTCCTCGAGGCTTCATTGAAGTTTCTTGCAGTTGATCAGATCAGGATGAGTGCGGGCACTATGTTACTATAATTTACTATATGTAGTATTGCTGGGCATTGATGAACTTTCCTAGCATCAACTACAGTGTCAGGATGCTTGGTGTCCATGTTGGAGCACGAGCGAGAACCAGGCATCGCTTTTATGCAGACCTGATTAGCTGAATTTCTGCAGGACTTTTGTTCATTGCCAGTGCAACCTAGGAAACCTTGCTCGACTCAGGCAGCTCTGGAGAGGTTTGATGTTTGACGCAAATTCAGTGAGTTTCCAGTGAGGAGATGTGTCGAGCCCTTCGAGCTCTCTGCTTGAGACGACACAATCTGCTTGTACTTCTTTCCCGAAGCGATACTGTTGCCTCTGCAGATGATGTACCATTTATATCCATATATATAATCATATATATACCATCAGTGACCCCAGCAAGAAAAAGAGGTTCTGTCTTTGGAACATCATCTTCCAGGGGCTTGACCTCCTTTCATCCACGTCTCTCGGCAGAAGGACACCCCCCCCCGTCCTCGGTTCCGATCGAGCCGACCGGAAGGTCCCGGTCTTCGGCAGGGGCCGGTGCAGTGCGACAAGAGACGCACACTCAATACCCGGTCGTGGCTCTTGAAAGAATCGATTGAGCAGCCTGACTGACACTGGCCTGACGAATCATAAGTCGAATCATGGTATATCATTTTAGATGCATCTATCCGCGCTGAGACGACTGTGCCTAATACCGTTTAGTTTTGGGCAGCGGTTTGTTGCTTGTGTTTTGATGAGTCCCGAAGGGAGTATATTGATGGGATTATGCAAGGCAGTAAACCCATATAATAGTAAAACCTGGTTGGTTCCACATGTGACAATGATGCGAGGTTGTCGAATCGCAGCACGACATCGTGGCTCTGATTTACTCAATCGTACTTCCGAGAGGGCAGACACTGGTTGTTACATGTTGTTACTCTTCCCACATGCTCGCTTTTTCTCTTCTTCTTTTTCGGATGATGTTTGTTGATGATGGGTCATGGCAAGGGGATAAACCCATCGACAGGTACGTGTGTCTGGGACATGGGTGGGTTACTGTATGGTACTTGTGTTGCCCCACAGTAGCCCTCTCCCACACCAAATCTATTTCGAATGATGAAGCCCAAGAGTTCAGTGGCTCGAAGAGACGTTTGGGTCGAGTATCTAAAAAAACAAGGGATGGCAGGTACAGACAATGTCACAGGTATTGTTAATTCATATTAATTCAGAGTAAGGGTCTAAAACTACTTAATATAGATCACCGTAAAGATCCGTAAAGTTACAATCATATAATCTTAAGACTGCAAGAGCCATGACATATTTCATCTATCGTCTTTGGTGAGTCCTTACTGACTTGGGCATGGCCTGGCCATGGCACGGGGAGGGTGCTTTGGGGTCTCTCCCTCCAAAAACTATGTAATGGGTCTATTCTATTGATGGGACCTAGATTGATCTACTATGTTCATTTTCAGGAATCTTGACTTTGATTTCTGTTCAAAGTACCAAAGACTGACTCATGCATTCCTCATGACTGGTAGCAACAAAAGATAAATAAACTCCGTCAATTGATATTATTTTATGATATTGTGCGACATAGTGCAGGAACATCCACCTCTTCCCGGCTCACACGTTAGGTTTGGACTTACCATGTTTTTGCACCGAGCTGACTTGCAGCTCAAGCGGCTTTTAAAAAGCCCAACGAAACACCGCCGTCGCGCTGCCGATCTGGTGGCCACTCTGGGCGGTGAAGTTTTAAGGGCAAGTGAGTCGGCAAGGGAGCAAAGTTGACATTTTGGAAACGGCGAAGTTTGCCTCAGCGAAGTTTATTTTTTCTAACATGGATGTTGTTAAAACCATGCTCCTTTTGAAGCGCATACAGATCTAATTCGACACATTTAAATCTATAGGATGCTTTAGCATACTATAGAAGACTGGCTGTTGATGGCTGTTCTCCAAGATACGGCTCATTCATTCGTAGATCGACCTTGCTGTGGCTTTTGGGCCTCAGCATTTGTCGAGCGACGCTCGCGGTACTACCGCGTCACCCAATTCGAGTTCACGTTTGCCCTCGCCTGGCGAGGGAGGACGTCACGTCAACCGGTTCAGGTCGGAGTCAGCTGGGCGCGGGGGCGGAGTCCGCCTCGTCACGTGGTGGAGCTAAAAGAAGCTGAAAAAGGCTGAAAAGGCACCTGGTTCGTTCATGAACGCCTCAACTCCTTCAAGCTGACCTTTGGGGTTTTTGCTTTCTTTAAAGCAGATCTTTACAGTGCATTCTTGGAGGAGTGCTCACAGGTCTCTAAGCATTTTCAACTGTTGTCAGGTCATTTGGATGTTCAAAGGCAGCAGCATTGACACGTCAGATACTTACAAGCTGAGCATGATGGCAAGCACAAGGTGAGCAGGCTCTTCTTTTGACCAACCCCCATTGGGCCTTTTTTTTGGCGGGAGTACACACAGACCAACAGGGTACAGACTGACTGTTGGACAAGTGTTCACCTACCATAAACTACCTACACGCGTTCCTGTGGAAAGTTGATTTTTACTTCAAACAGTGCAGAAGAACTCCCCCAAACGCGAGCTTGGTCTGACCGGTCCCAAGACTGTCCTGAGTCGGCGGCGAGCAATCGATCCCAAAAATGATGCGTCGGAGACTCCCCTGTCGTCTCTCAGTGGCCGATGTCAGGGAGAGGCCCTTTCTCGCCAGGGAGAAAACCAAATGGTCTTTGCTACAGGATTGGTCGGACTTTTCCTCAGTATCATGGGGTACAGCTCAAAGCTCAAAAGTGTTGTGCCCATGTCCTATGCCAAAGGACACGATATTGGTACTACAACTAAAGTCAGCTGGAGATAGCTGGAGGACAAGTGAATTCGCGCAAGTGGACACAATGGGAACCAGTGACATCTATCGTCCTTGATTGCCCCCAAAGGATTCGGCTCAGGTTCAGAACGGCCTCCATCTCAGGCTTCTAGGTGGGGGTTTGTCCATCAGAGTATCATGCAATTACTTGACTTGTGTCACCTGGTTTCGGCTTTGGCTCATGGTCACATTGAGATCAAGGAGGAGTACCCTGCGACAGAGACAGAAAGCACGACGATTGGCGGCCGCAGAGACGAAAAAGCAGATCAGATTGGCCCCATGCAGCCGGATTGTGGTCCACTCTACCTCATCCCCGTAAAGTGGTTGTGGAATAGGTGACCTCTTCGAAAGGGGCAACAATAGTCAATGGTCTAGCAGCATTATAACTGAAATTGGTCAAACACATAATCAGAAAGACTCAGCAGTCCAATATATTGCTGTTTAAGGAAGACATCCTATATACTACCTGGGATACACAAGAGCCTGCAACAAGTGGAAGATCCTGAATGCCAGGTGGTGCGGGATTTACCTCCCTCATGCCTCTTGTGGCTCAGAAGTTATTCATTTCATTGTCAAAGATTGGATTTCTAGACCATCCACTCGCCAGAATAAGCACTGCGATACTGTACCAAGATTCTTCGAGCTGCATCATTCCACTGATTCAATCGATGCACCGACTTGCCTGTTGAGTGCAGCGTGGAGGTAGTCCGTTTGACTTCTATTTTTGAACTATCCAAAACGCGTCTTTGAGGCACAAGAGCCTGAGTTCGCCACAATTCACTATGAAAAAGCACAAAACACCAACTCCAGATCTGGCTTGTGGATTTGCGCAAAGGCTCTGTGTTGGCCCCAGTTCAACTGAGTCCCTCAAAATGCGGTTGAATGCCAGATAGGTTCAACCGCCAGTCAAGGAAGATCTACCACTGGAAAAACATATTTGCCAACAGATTGTGTGTGGCCAGATTTGAGCAAGTTTTACCACATGATACAGCTGTTTTGTCTTTTATTTACATCATTGTCCATGTGAGAAACGCCATTGCACCATATGTTTCTGCTCCCTGCATCAATCATATCCAACAACAAGTCCGGCAGTGCAGCACACACACACACACACACACGATCCCCCCCAAAACGACACCAACGCTCTTTGTACCAATCATCCACATTTGGGCCCACACGCTATCCACCCTATTGCTCCGTAACTGACTTGTGCTATTTTGTTGGGGAATTTTCAGGTGGCTGGATCCAATGGAATCTCCCCAAAAAGGGGTTCTTCCCTTCTTCCCCACGAAATCGTCGCCACCTGCGCCAGAAAAGGCGGACGGCGCTCCCTTCCGACCCGCAGCGTTCGCCGCCAGCGATGGCGCCGAAGATCCGCCTCCCCGCGGCGGCCCTGTCCAACCGCTGGGAGGAGCGAGCGCTCCGCTCACGTCCCCTCCGCCCTTGGGGGAGTGTCATGAAGGGTGAAAGAGAGTTCGGGGGGCAGAAGCCCTTAGGAGGTGGGATAGACCACTGGGTGACACCATTTGTCACTTTTGTTTCAGAACTCTGGGGTATTTGTTGAAGTCTCTTAGACAATGGTCTTCGGAGCTCGAAGAGTCGCTTCGGAGCCTATCGATCCATTTGTTGGGGGGGGTGGATCCTGCAGTTATGTTTTGTATTCACACGATTTCACACGTAACGGTTATGTTTTGTATCCTCTACAGTCATGAGGTTGGGGGATGGATGCGTGTACAAACGGATCACATGATCACAGGTTTGAATTGGTATTGTCGACAGGTTGTCAGTTGCCCTTCTCGCGAAGGCAAACCGTTAGATTCGACGGTTTGGTGAGGTTTAGACTCTACGCTCCCATTTCCAGAAATGCTTTGGTGCAGCAAAGAGAACATCCCGGCCAGTGAGCTTTCGTGAGTTAACCTGGCTGATTTCGAGCAAAGGATCTCGCAGGCCATTCTCCCACTGGAGCCACACGGTGTGGCCACGATTTCTGATTATTTCTGGATTGGTTTCGCCCAGGAAATTATCATTTTCCCAATGGTTTTCCCAATCCGAGTGGTAGGTTCATAGAAGTCTACTTCCTTGCCCACCCCAGGAGCCCCATCAAGATGACTGCTGCGTTGGGGAGCTCAGTGCTGTGAAGATCGGGAGCATGAGGTTGCCGGAAGTCCTTGGTTTTTTGGAAGCCCACAAGGTAGGGTTCTAGGCTGTTTGGTTGAACATTATAGGGCTCGTCAGTCTTCAAGATCGTCGTTCGATGGTGTGTTTTCAATCCCTCCGTGCGACAGAAGCCGGAATGATTGCAGTGCATAGAGGTCCTGACATAGGAAGGGACAACTAATGTGTGTGTGTGTTGAAGGGGCAATTACTTTTCGGTCCATTTGGGGACCACCAAGCCTTATACATATTAACTTCTTGTGTAAATATAACTCATAACCATATATATTACTAATTATTGCCTTTGAGGTGATTTGCCATTCAGCAAAGTCGAGGAAGTCATGAAGTAGCCTCAAATTGAAGAGCATTTGGTTTGGTGGATGGCATGTCTTGCTTGATCACGCGTTTCGTCCAGAGACCATTTGTAGAGATCTTTGGAACAATCATTTGAGCTGATGTGTCAAGAAGTTCAGAATAGGAGGGCCCAAAGACAGCACCAAAGGCCTTAAGGAAGGATAAAAATGGAGAGTAGCTGTTTTCATACTTCCATTGTGACTTGTGACTTATCGTTCTCTTCTGCCGGAGCAAGTCTTGCTGCCCAGCGATGGCCAGGACACTGCCTGCCGCGCATCTACCTTTTCTTTGACCGCCGCTCATAGCACTGGAGGTGCAGCGTCGAAGCAGGTGCCGTGCCAGTCGTCCCAAACACATGGCAGGTTTGCTCGCGATCTCGATGATCTCCGCCATCTTACAGGAGCAATCTCAGAGTGACGCAGATCCGAACAGGACCCGATCGGTGTGGGGCGGGTTGGACAGGTGGGGGCGAGGTAAACACAGGTAGGACTCGGATGCAAAGGCTTTATCAATTTGTGGATCATTCATGTGCCAGCTTCTTTTGGCGATGACACCAATTGCCAACAAAGATATCATTGAATCTAGGGCCTTATTCTTGGGGCGGGGGCATCTACTTTCATCCATGCGGGTTCCAGCGGTGGTCAAACTGCGCAAACTGCGGCCAACCAGCGCTTGACAGCTGCTTGAAGCAAACACCACAGCATCCAACAAGTGAGACCCGGTATGGCAGCTGACCACAGCCACAGCCAGAGGGACATGTTCCTGGGGCCTGGGGGGCCCATGTTCCAATTCCAGGGGCCTTGGGGGCCCATGTTCCAAGGTCATGAATCATTCGAACGAGTCCATGGGAGATGGAACATTCGTGGGCACCCGCTGTCATGCCAGTGGGCCTCATATTCCTGTTGGTAGCACACAAATGATGAATTGGCAGCACAGGGGAAGCAACTGGTCCCAAGCAAGGAACCCCAAAAGCATGGTGGGTGGGTGAACATCTCCAAGAATAAGGTTCCTTTGGGGGTCTTGGGGCGCCCCTTGGGGGCCTTTGACATGTTTGGATCGGCACCAGCCAGTTGCGATGTATCGTGTTCTCGGCTCTACCAATTGGAACAACAGCAATCAATCATTCTGGGGGTCCATGTGTTCCGCCTTGTTTCAACCGTTGCTGAAAGAATCGCCTGAACTGATGCCCAACTTGATTGGGTCTCTGGAAAGACCCACTGAAGGATCACTAGATCACCTTCACGCCATCATAGGTGGGATCCTCAAAACTAAGCATCTTCTTCGCTTCAGACGGAGATGGACATGAGCCTTGCACGTGACCAACGGGGACACATGGTCGCCGGAAACCCCGGTGGGCCGCCGGAAAAAAACGTACGCTCCCGACCGCCCCGATCGCGCGAAACGCTCGCCCAGGAGATCTCTGGGGCTCTTGGCCCAGCCGTTGGCAGCATTTGCGGTGCTACCTTGCTTGGGCACCTTGCTGGTGAAGGCACGAGTTGCTGTTGGTGACAATCAGGTGAGCTTACTTACGTGTTTTTCGTGACGTGTTGCAGCTCTAATTTCAGAGTCTATCTGAGCTCTCATTCCCAGCTCACATGACTGGAGCAGAATTGTACATAAGAACAATCAGAGTTTGTTCCTCAGATTGTTGGTTTCTAGACCCCCTGAAAAATCATCCTTACAAACGGTTGTACGACCCCTCGATGTGTGACCTGTTGCTGTCATTTCCACCAGTTTTTCATTTGTGGATCTGTGACACTCGCTGGACACACCCATCAGAGTCTTTGAGACAACTAGAGAGACTCAGAGTCCAAGCAGAACTGACCTTGAAAAGTCGATAGAACATCGTAGAACCAGTTGTGGGTCACAGAAAACAGACCCTGCTTCTTTTTCAGGCTCCCCCGAGAAATGAATCTGGTGTGTATTCTTTTGACGGGAGACCAGCTGGCCCAATGGGTCTTGGTTTGTTTTCCTTCTTCCAGCGGGGTCGAACTGAGAGGTCTCCCTATTTGGAAAGCAGTAAACGTCAGCGTCCCCTGTGATAAGGAAGTGACTACGCGCGTACACAAGTACCACAGTGCCCTATACCTACAAGGCCAGTGTGTTCCACACTACTATAAAATACTATGAACAAGTAGTCAAAAGTACAGAAGGGGAGCTATAGCTCACTCACCCTTATGTCAAAAGTCAGTAGTAGTAGTAGTAGTACTACTACTACTACTACGACTACGACTACGAAAACGACTATTGCTACCACTAGCATATTGGGTCTGGGTATTCTGTCTCATTTTCCGAGCAATGCACTCAGAGTAAACAGTACGTTGTCCGAGCTAAACCATGTCTTGACACCCGTGCATCATCTAGTCTACATCCACTGCAAAGGGATCTGCTGGAGAGTTTCTTTGTCACCAGGCTCCTGATGTGGTGAAAGCCCTGCGGCGCTGCTTGGTATAGACATATCATATGAGAGAGGATTGGCAGGGGCCCGTCATGCAGGTCGTTTCGGTAGATGTCACTATATAGAGTGTTTTTCAATGGTGTCAAAGCTGCCTATGGGCCACAACCACTTTCACACCAGTGAACATGGGGGAAATTTGACTTGGACTTGCATATTTTTTCTCCTATGGCCATTTTCATTGTGGGGTTGTCCTCACAATCCCAGCGTTTGTAAACCCACCACGTTTAGCAAGAACATCATTTTGAATTTCACTGTATCTTGAGCACTATACTCAAGTGTTGCCTTTGAACACTTGAAGAGGTGATAAGATGCCAAAAATGATTCTCCAAAGCTCAGTGGCTCTGGGTAGGTGATGGTAGCTGAGAACAGCTGACATGCCTTTGCAATGTTTCACATGTAGCTTTTCTTGGTTCTTGGACGTGACAGCTCAGCAGTGCCGTGCCTCGAACTCCCAGTTCTTTGCAGCAGCGCCTTTGTCCTGTGCCTTCTGGTGGATTTGATGCTCCCAAGCCTCTTCATGACCACCCACAAGGCACGGTCCGCTTCATTTCTCCTGCTTCAAAACATCCATTGCAGTATCCAATAAGACCACCCGCAGGCGCCTACTGGTCTCCCGTTGTAGGATTTGATTTCTGTCACCCGGACGACCGAGGAAGAAAAACCCGCGCATTCCCACCGTCTTCTCCCGACCGACGCTACGCTTCCGCTTCGACGCTTCGGACCGCGGGGACCGCGGGGAGGGACGACTTGCGGCATCAGTTGAGTTCTGTCGACTGCCAAAACAGCTCCAAAGATCAAGGGTTGCGTTTCTCAAATCGACCGAAGGTCGAGGTTTTTTCTACATGGACTGGCAGCTCCGGTGAAGCATCCGTAGCATCTCGTAGCATCCGGAAGAGATCGGCGTCTCCAATTGTGATGACATTTCGAGACCAAAGGAGTTGACGACGTGAACCAATTGGACTCCTAGGTCTGACCATGTCGTGCGATGTCGACATGGTCACTTCTCCTTTCCTTATTTGTGGCATGAGTCATGGTGAAAGGCGGTTCGGAGAATCCAAGAAGGTAAGCTGTTCAGCCTTTATGGTTAGTTTTGAACTACCTATATAAATCAACCTATTAGCAATGGCCTCCAACCTAAGAGTGATGGCCTCCAACCTGATAGCGATCAACTCAAGTATCACCCCCTTAACTCCCTCCTCTTGATTTTTTGTGCGAGCAAGGACGCTACTGTACTATAGTAGCTCCTGGCATTACTACTAGCAACAAGAAGCTACTAGTAACAAAGGGCATCGCTACGAACGGCAAGAAGCTACTAGGTGTGTTCAGTCTGCGCAGCGCGGCAGCGCGGCGCAGGTGTCCGACGCGCTGCCGGTCCTGTCGATGCTTCTGGGTTTCTGTGAAGGCGGCGTCAAGTCACTGGACCATCAGCGCCGCGATGCGCGCGGGTGGTCAAGGACGTGCCATGCGATGCTCTGGTGTAGCAGCGTAGCAGGTTTTGCGTCCATCATCCCCACATATTCCCACTTCGACACATGATCACATCTTGTTCACTCAATTCGAAGCCTTTGTATCCAATCATATCCTATTGCAGTAGTTTGGCATACGTCTTTGCCCATACTCCTTAGGTGGCATTGCTTTGAACTCCGTCCCCTACAGGGTCCCTCACCCGTCCGATCAGATCATCTGGATCCAAGGTTGGCCTTGCTGAGCGTCTGTGAGAATCAGGCCATGAATCAGACTGACGCATCAGTCATCCAAGTTGGAGAGATGCTTTGTGCAGCCCTGGAAAAAGCAGAGAATGTTTGGAGAAGCAATCACCCAAAAATCTATGGCCTTTTTCCTGTGAGACACTTTTCTGTGGGTTATATAACTTTCAGGGGTTGCTGCCTTCCGCTGCATATTGTGAGACCATTTTTATGAGGACATATCTGACAACTCCGGAAAAAGAACCAGAGGGTTCCGTCCATGTCTCATGCTTGTACCTTACTAAGCCTTACTAGCCAGTTGGCAAGAGATGCTGGATCTTGCGGCCGCGAGGATCTTGGCTTTGACCCCTCCAATCAGAAACGTAGAGCATCATACACCCCACATCCAACTAAGATCAACTGTAAATATATACACTGTACAGACTTGTGTAATATGTTTGGGCCATGTTGGGCCCTGGGCTCAGATACGCCTATCTTTGGAGAGGAAAAAGACACCAAAGCATTCGGGCGATGTTTGGTCGCCCCCCGTGACCTCTTGGTGCTGACCAAACCGGGTCTTCTCGCTACCGACGGTAAGGCGGTGAAGTGCAACGAGGCCACCCGTTTGGCCGAAGGCTTTGCCGCTCCTTGGACGCTGAAACAGCTGGCGGGGCGGAGCGCCCATCGGAGCGCCCTGAAAGAGGATGAACATGGGGAGGCCCTTTTTCTGTGCGGAGTGCAACTGCGAACTGAGATATATAGCGCCTGTTCGTCTGAGATGTCAAAAAACACTTCAGAATGCATGCACCCTGGTTCAAAGAGGACAAAGATACATTACAATTATGCTTTGTGGCAATAGGAATGAGATGTTAACATCCACTCTATGGGGATTGTTCTTGAGCGCTTTGGTGAGTAGATCACCTCATTCGGTAGAAGGCATGAAGAAGTTCTGGCAACTTCTATCGACTCTTTCGCTATATTTAGGGCCCTATGCACCGGATCGAACTTTTTCAGGGGATACATGTGGCAATTGCTTTGAATTGAATTTAGTAAGATGGGCCATAGATGAAGGGTTTGGTCGATCCTATGGTTGAAGTTGTCTCTGACAAGAACCATTCTGTGGGTTTGATTGCTAGCAGAGGAATTCAGTAATTGTTTGGCACCAGCATTGACATCCTTTTTTCACGCTCAGCATGTTTCACTGACAGCAATGTGAGCTGGAGAGAAACAGCTAGATTCACCATGTTCTCCGACTCACATACATGGTATCTGAATGCAGGCTGGGTTGACTCCCCATTTGCACCACCCACGTTGACACCCATAGCGGTCGTGCGGGTGGGCCTTTCAGGTGGCCTACCTACTGAACCTGTGGGGCAAATCCTTGGGCGTGGCAATGGCCTTGGCCCCATGGGGTGCGGTGAACCCAGAGGGTCCGGACGTCGAAGACGGGACTGCAGAGCATCTGATGGTTCACCGATGGGTTGATCGGAGGCGCCGGCGGCAAGATTGGAAGCGAGTACTTGTGAGAAAGTAGGAAGACTTGTAGGTTCCAAAAACGTTGGTTTTGATGAGATTGCTCACAATTCTGGTTGAAAAGGAGTTTCTTGTGGGAGGAACTTCATTTTCTCTGTAGGTTTTGGACTCATCTTTGAGAAATGAAGAAGGGCTCTTCCTTTCTTTTGCATGCAAAGTTAGGCAAAAACGGCTACTTCACGAACTTCACCAGTGAGAAGTGTGTGGCCGGCAGCACGTGCATGAGAATGCAGATTTGTGGCTTTGCAGAGTTGGCAGATTCGTCGCTGGTTTGTTCAGCTGAACAACGAACGAGCAACTTGAAGGGCCCTTTTCTGGTGCAGCAATTGCCTGGGAGATTCCTTTCCAGCGTTACGGCGTCGTTTGCATGCGTTTGCAGTTCTCATGCATGGACATGATGAGCAAACATAGCCAAACAAAAATACAACCTCCGAGCTGCACGGCCTTCTTGTTCATTCCACAGTCTTCGTGTCCCTGACACATATTTGTATGCTTGGATCACCTGTTCCACGAAGATTGAAGAATTTCCACCATCCCTTGATATTAGGGACAGGGGGATCCTCACAAAGGCTTGTACAAGAAAAGAGGTGCGAGGAGGCAACCAATTCAGTAGAAGCAATCATACTCCCGAGCATTTTGCAGAGATGAGAGCTGTTCTGATGCAACAACTCGTCAATTGAAGTGATGTCTCATTTGTTCGTCAAAATGGTTCTTGTCAAAAAATCATTTGAGACATCACTCAGCTTTGGTGCCATAATATGTGTTTTCTCGTGCTGAGCAGCTCAAGATGTTTCTCTGGTGGTGGGGGGGGAAACACCAGGTAATTATGCAACTTTATAACTATATAGACTATATATATTATATAATATATAGGTGGTGGTTTCGGATATTGGCGTGTTCAACCTTTACTTGGTATCACTGACTTATATTTTACAAGTGAGTTGAATACCACCAACCAAATATAACGAGATACACCGTTTTCCCAGTGGCTCTGTGTGTTTTTTAGGTGGCTTTCGTCTCCACAGCCTGTTGTCTTGAGCCAGCCTTGGTCTCTGAGGTGGTCTCCTGTGCATCCCCTTCCAGCTGATTGCGCTGGTCTTGGCATTGCACCTTAGCACAAAACACAAGAACCAACGGGACCTGCCAGCAGGTCCCAGCAGGTCCCGCGCCGGGCGTAGGTGAGTTGGTCAGCAAGGTGGCCGGGTGGGCGATTCATTTGGAGGGTGCTTTGCAGTGAACACTGCGGGCTGTTCAATGGCCCTGAAGTGAAAACCGGTGAGACCAGCGCGGAAAACAGGGGCTAGGTCGACAAATGAACTCCACTTCCTGATATATTGGAGTAGGACTTTCCAATACTTTCCAGTGTTTTTTCTGTTTCTCATCAGCACCTGGGAAGCAACTCGCTTCCCTTCCGTCAACGGCCTTCATCTTCCCCTTTCGACCAACGGCCCGGCAGCCACCCGTGCAGCGCCTCCAGGCGCCTGCCGGGCGACCGGAAGCGCTGGCGGAACTCGCCGAGTGCGAAGGTCCAAGAGGCGCGGCTTCCGGTGAAGCGTCCTCTACCCCCTCCCTCCCGCATGCGCGAAGAAGCTCCTAGTAGCTTCTTGTTGCGATGGTTATATTTGCTCCTAGTAGGGGGTTTTCGGGGGGCGGGTTGGGTGTCGTTGGACGTGAGGAATAGTGAAGCCTCATGGGGTAGGTTATGAGATGTGATGAGTGAGTGTGAGTTCAACAAGGTTGAGAACCATGTCGTGTGCCCTACCAGGATTTGCTGATTTGGCATGATTTAGCCATTTCTAGCCAAGAATTGGCTACAGATCTTCCAGCACAATATCTCAGGTGCCACCAAGCCCAAAGGTGCCCTGGCTTCAGCTGACTCGTGACAAGTTTCCATTCTTTTGTTTGGAGTTTGCTCACACTGCCCTCGCACAGGTCCTTCCCAACTATAATTATAACTCAAATGGCAAACACTCGTAATGCGGAGCCTTCTAGGGCTCCAAGTACCTCCTGAGAAGATAGTTGGGGTCTAACCACCTTCTAAGGATGTGGTGGGAGCCCTTGGGTATTTTTATCAAAGAGCCCACAAGGTCTTCAACCAAGCCTGGTTGCCTTTTCATGAGAAGACACGGCGAGCCGTCACTCGCGATGTTGCTACCTTAAGAGATACGATTCAACCCATGAAATACCAGCCCGGCATAGAAGTGTCCAAGCGCGGCGGGTCACAGTTCCCAACCTGGCATCAACGGTCGGTTCCCTTTCTTTACGAGTGTTTGTTACAAGTTGGTCTCACGAATTTGGGGTGCCATTGACATCCAAAATTTTGAATGTCAACAGTTTGTCGACACATGATTGGGCCACGTGTCCAGATGTATTCAATCAGTTCTGATGTTCCAAATAGTGCAGAATCGTATCGACAGGCTAGATCGTTTGGATAAGAAAGAAACCATCAGAACCATCTAGAATTCCTTATTGAATGGTACGTAGTAGACGTTTCACGTTGCGTAGACGCCAGCCTGCCTTGCGCGATTCGGCCGCAGGAGGCCGAAGAGAGAAATGCCGGAGCCTCACGGAGCCGGGGAGTGGCCGGCACTGAGTCCTTGAAGAAGACGTTGTCTCCAAGCAGGGAGACCATCCAAGGACATCCAAGGAAACATCAAGAAACCGGCTGGAGGTTTCGCAGGGAAACGGACCCCAATAATGAATGAAGTGAGCTATTGTGAGCTCCATTGTTTTTTCTTTTAATGGGGAAGTCGGGAAGTGTTCGTTGATTGACATCAGCTTAACATAGCTTAACAATCTCAACATGGGTCCAGGTTCACAGGGGCCTGAGTAATGGATGTGTTTGCTTTGTTTGACAATCCCAGCCCTTGATCAATCATGTGCGCGGAAGTGATAGTTTTCATTTGCTTCGTGTAGGCTTCTGACCAATAGCTATGGCCGCTAAAATAGCTCTGCTTTGCCCTTATCCAATCTTCATCACTGTTTTTTCCATTGCGTCTCCTTTTTGCTGTTGAGTTGGTCCCTTGTTCTTCCGCAGCATGGCTGGCTTGGCTTTATTTGTCGTGTTGCGAAGCCACCCCAAACCAGTACCAAGCAACTTCCAGCTCTATAGCTTAGATGTAAAATGCTAGCTTTAAGACATGAGGCTTCTCTTATCTGTTTGTTTGCCGATTCGCAGACTAGGCAGTGGTCGAACGCGCTCGTGGGGCCCATGCAGCTCTTCAGTCGTTTTTGACGGCAGCGCTTGAGGAAGGTGGTTTCCCAGGATCAGCCTCGGCTGCACAGAAGGCAAAGGATTGCCTCGAATCTGATTTTGATTTGGGCCGTGCATCGCAGAAGCATAAACGGATTGAAGTTCGAAAGTTGCAGAGGAAAGCTTCTTATTTGTATGGGCGGTGTGTTGTTTGAAGAAGCAGCTGCTGGCCGAGAAGCAGACCAAGCTTGGAGGCCGGCTGGAAAAGATCTGGCTCATCAGAGCGGGGCTGAGTGACCCAAACGTCTCTGTTCGCAAGATGGAGGAATTTCTTCGAGAATTTCGTTGGAGCAGACTCAGACCGTGTCACACTCCACAGTTTCTGCTGCCCGGGACTGTTTTGCAGAACTGGTGAAGCAGCAGGCTAGATCTGAGCTTTCTGGTCAGGTGGCGTCCCAGAAACCACGGGCAGTCTTCGTGTCACACATCCATGACGAAGCCTTAAGCTACCTGAGCGGATCTTTTCTTTGCATGCTGGCAGGCTGAGGCAAGAGAATGCCAAGAGGCTGGCTCGCTTCATCAGCTTCTACACTGGACCTGATGCAGATGGGCGGCTCCGCAGAAGCGGCCTTTGCTTGCAGCTGACTCGCATCGCTGTGTCCTTGGCTTCGAAAAAACGAGTAGATGTGGAAGATCTCGATTCTTTGCCTTTGCTCATCCGTTTGGGAAGTGCGCAGGTGCAGAAATCAACCTTTTTCCAAAATAACCCACCACTAGTATCCACTAATTTCCACTAATACAAATTACCCAAGCGCTCTTCGCAAGAGCGCGCTGCCGTTGCGCATCAAGCTTTGGCAGAGTATTTAGAACAGAATAGAGTGGATTTGCAAGACGAGGCGAAGGCTGTCAGGGAGGAAGCCCAGCAAGAGTTGAAGCGACTTGAATCGCATACCTTGCCGTATACCAAATGCAGGATTGGGTTCTCTGGTTGGAAAAGCACGAGGCGGAATTCCGACAATGCCTCAAGGAGGCCACGGAGAAGAGACGCAGCATCACCATGCGACTCCAGCAAGTGGAGGGTATGTCCTGCGCTCTGCGTTTGCAACCAAAATCACGTGAATCCTTGCCTGACGTGATGTGGGCCCGCTTGCTGAAGCAACAGAAGCATGGTTGGTTTTGTTTCTCTAAGTGCAGCCAGCCGCATCTGGTCTTCTGGTTTTGCAATATTGGAGGCCAGTGCAGCTCGTTGCCCTGCGTCCGTGTGAAGCCGAATTTGTTCTGGTGACCAAGCCATGATGGTGGTGGCTGGGCTGGCGCTAGAAACATTGTGGGATTTGGACAAGCGTGTTGTGATTCCGACGTTGGATGTCAGCAAGTACCATTTTGTTGACCAAGCAGTGCCCCGGCACATCTTGGGAGCGGGCATTAGTTCGATTGAGTTGTCCTGTGGTGTTGCTCGAGAGAAGCCCATGAACTCAGCAGCCTCCTCAGCCGCCATTGCCAGTTCTCCCTCTGTTGTGCAGCCACAGCAACCTGCCATAGCAAGTGCGCCGGCTTCGAGCACGGTCCCAGAGGTGGGGTGCAGGGGTGCAAGTTCTATTTATAAACAGTTCTTTTGTCTTTTGTTCAAGGGCAGGAGTGCGCAGAAGAAATCGCTCAGCAGATGAAAGTGGCATTTGACGCCAGCAACTTTCATGCCACTGATGAGCTTGCTCCGCGGAGCGCTAGCTTCTGGTTCACCTCCTGAAGCACTTTCGCTCATGGAAGAAAGACCGTGCTCATGAAGAAGTCTCGAAGTTCATTGAGTCCTTGGACCCCCATAACTCTCTTTGCATCAAGTTCGCAGTCAAGACTCTGCTGACGCATGAAAGCTTCCACCACTTGAAGCCCTTTTGTGAAAGCCTGAAAGAACTGCACCGAGAGATTTGTGGCTTTTTGCCATCCTTGGCCGAAGCATTGATGTGCATGGGTGGGTCCACCCTTGGAGAGATTACAGAATCAGAGTGGGACTTCTTGGATTTGGCGCAAATGATATACTTGTACAAATAAACTCTGTACCAGCAGTTTGTACGCTTGCGAGTCGAAGAGAAAATCCACCAAAGCATGTCTTGCAGCAGTCCGATGAAGACCGTTGCGCCTTTGCTCAGAAGATGCTGCGCGGCCCTCTTTCGCAGGAGCAGCAAAAGAACTTGCAGTTTGTCCAGGGGTTCTTTGGCCCGTTGAACACTGCAGAGAAGATTTTGCTTTTTGTTTGGTACACCCGAAGAGCACTTTGAACACCTCCGCGGCTGGGCACCAAACCATGACTTGCTCAAGCTGAACATTTTTGCTTGAAAGGCCACGACTTCTCGTCCGAAGACCTTCAAAAGTTTTTGGACAGTGCCATTGGGCCATTGTCATGTGCCACTCACTTGAGATGCCTTCTTTGGTGGTGCACCCTGTGGCTAAGGGGCTCGTGGTTTTGCTCTTCAGTTTGCTGAAGGTGGCAGGTGATTCTAGCGTGCTGAAGCCCTTAGCGCACAGCCTCTTCCTCGAGTTCTCCACCTTGAAGCTTTCTTTGCCCTTGCACTCGCTGTCCGTGGACCCCAAAGCGGCTGCTGCTGAAGACCTTCAAGCATCTTAGCGTAACTGCAATTTTGTTACATACCCCAGGCTGACCCCAGGTGCTTTGTTGCTGGTGTGTTTGTTGCGTTCACATGTCACATGCAACTCCTTGAGGATGTTTTGCGGACGATGGCTCGCATTGCAGGCCCCTCCCTCTCGAAAGCAACAGGCCCGTCGATCGAGATCCTTCAGAAAGCCAAGGGCGATTACGAGGCTCTCCAAGCTCAGCAGCCAGAAAAGACGCCCAAGACCGAAGTGAACAGTGACGCTGCCACTGCCACTGAAGGGAAAACTTTTTGAGATTGGTGACACAGTCATCGCAGAATCGTCAAAGCACAAGAGCAGTTACAGCCAACAAGAAGCAAAGGTCGTTACTTTGTTGTCTCAGACGGTGCGTGTTGAGATGTGGACAGGAGACAAGAAAATAAAAAAAATGGATTTTGCTTGCAACAAGCTAAAGTTGAAAGCAGCCACATCTCATGCCAAGCGAGATGTTGAGACGGTGGCCTGGCCACCTGCAAAGGCTCCGAAAGTGAGCCGCACTGAAGAGTTGTTTGGCAACACTGACATGCTGTGACCTTGCGATCCTAGAGGTGAAACTGTTGCGGCGGATTCTTGGCGATGGGCGGGCGGGCCGTTCTTGTGCCTTCTAGATTGAAGGAATCCACTGACGAATATTTGTCAGAACCAACATAGGCTCCCAAGAAAATCCACCTTTGCTTGCCGAAATAAGACCCGCAAAGACTGCAGGTTTGCATCATCCTTTGTTATATACTTGAATATAATTGATACATATTGATACAATTAAGTAGCTATATAATCGGTGGGTGTCCCTATCGCTTGAAACCTCTTGAAATCACTGCCACAACAGGTCACGTTCACTCATAGCTTGCCCCTATCGTCTCGTGGCCCGTGGCCCGGACGGATCCGCCCCAACCGTTCCCCCCAGGCCGAAAATGAGTTGGATGAACTCTTTCAGGACCGAAAAAGGACGCCAAGAAGACCGACCGCGACCGATACGCGGTGGATGTAGTATGATATACTGAAAACCTGTCAGCGACCGAACCGCGAAGAATAGAAAGAAGATGAAGGGCTCGTGGATCAGGAGGCATCACCATCACCAATAAACAGAGTGAGTTTGTTTAGTTGGAGTTTAAAGTAGTGAAATTCCAATTGGGCACTTCTCCTGCATTTTTGCTGTACGGGCCTTGGAGTGATGCCTTTCCAACTCATGGTCGTCATCATCATCGTCTTCGTCATCTTACAACTGAATCATGTGTGTATATCACATCTGTAATCCATCATAGTTGGATGATTCATTGATCATCATATATACCAGCACAGCAGCATCTCATTTACTAATCAATAATATAAGAGCCACGGGGTGCACAATTACTCAAGTGGTGTTGGGGCCCCCGTGATGGGGCATGCCGCGCCCAACCCCAGTTGTGCCACAATGTTTTTTCCAGGACCCTGGTACCAACTTGGCCGCTTTGACGCAATGTCGACCCGTGCGAGCAAACAATCGCGTGGGAACAATGGGATTGCCAAGATCACCATGCAGTTTGGTTCCACAACGGGGTTTCGCAATCGTTTAGTGAAACCACTGGTTGAATTGTTGCATCAAGAAACTAATGCCTATTTACAAGCTAGTAACTGGTGATGTCATGCGGGGTTCTGAACCACAGCCACAACTAGCTGCACATTATGGCATCATTCTGTTGCTTCCTTGGACAGTAAGATACAGTAAGAGACCAAAGATAGCAACAACCATTTCGGTGGGTTTTTCTTATCAATCTTCACATATCTTCACTATAGATGTGATTACGTCTGGGGACCTAACCAAGGGTTGATATCATATATGCTAACAACTAACATAGTTAAACTATATATATGTGTGTGTTCAACAATGCCCCACCCATTCTTTAAGATCCTTTGTTTTCAGATGGGTCCTTCCTTCTCTGACGGATATCAGGTCAACTGCAACTCCGAAGCTAACTCGAACGAAAACTGAGATATTCTAAACAATCCTGGTAAGTCGAAACATTTGAGGTTGTTTGTATTTGTTTGGTGCATTTATTCTCGAAACACTGCATATCGGATTTGCAAATGATCCGGCCCTTTCTATCACAGACCCTTTTTTACACGTCCTTGCCGACCAGACTTTATAAACCCGATTCTTCCCTATTGGACATAGCCCCTTAGTTCTTCTGCCCAAAACTCTGGTGCGTCCTTCTCTGAAAGCATGCCATATTCTTTAAAGTGCCCTTTCGGAACAACCTGAATCCACACTGACAGCACCCAAATCTTTTGCACTTCAGGCGCTGGTCTCCAGTCTGCTGTGTGGCATCGCATTGCTTTGTGCCAGAGAGCGAGCAAAGGTCTTCAGTACACCACTAGGCTGAGAGGGGCAGTTAAACCACTAGGTGCTTATACAGTTATACGCCACTACCCCAAGTTCAGTCTTTGGAGATGTCTTCAAGTCTTCAAGTAGGCTGTTGGAGATGTCTTCGGTGTCCCCCTTTGTTTTTGTGTGTGTGGTTCCCCCATGTCAAACGCGTTTTGGAAAACAAGCTGCTTTACCAAAGCTGTTTCTATGTCATTTGAGGAGGCCGGCCATGCACACATAGGATTGCATTTAAGTGGCCGGTGCCGCAGAAGTTTTGGTGGCGTCCTGAGTCTGCATGAGGATTGGACCATGTTCGGAGAATGCTTGCATCATTCCAGCAATATCTATATAGTAGTTAGGTTCTATTCCGATATTGCATGTTCTCCAAGCATTCCATTGCAATAAATGCAACGAGGTAGAGATATGCAGAGATCATATGGTCTGCATTGTGCTGAATCCTTCTAAACATTCCTCATGCCACACCAGGGTAAGGACTCTTTTCAGTGGTCAGGGTCAAACCCTGGTGCTAAACGCCTAGAGGCCGCTCTGAAGCGTGGAATGGCCGTTTGCTTTCCTCGCTTTTGGCAGCTGCTATGGCAGGGAACCTCAGTGAAACTCAGCAGCCCCGCGAGATTTGGACAAAGATTGAACAGAGCGCTTTGATTCTTACATGTATCCCCGAACCTCAGTGCCTGTGTGCATGTGTGTGTGTTTTTTTGAGGCGATTTGCATGGTTCTTTGCCGCAATAGTCTTTCAGCGGTGGCTTTGGCTCTTGCGTCAAAATAGGTGTGTGAAGTTAATCTGTTGGTCAATGCTTTTTCCCTATTGATCATGGGGGTGTCAATCCCTAAAATCCTTGCTCCGTTGGGAATCTCCTTCTTTGCAAAAGCAAGACCGTTGTTGTGGCACCGACATCGGTCAGTCTTTCCCGTCCCGCCATCACCTGGTTCGCGGAGTCGCCGCCGTGTCCCACGACGATGGCCCATGGGATTGCGCCGTTTGAGCTCCACTTGGTAGGTGGGAGAGTGCCCTGGATTCACCCTTCCAAAGTGGACCTCTGCACCGTGAACACAGACGGGTTTCTGCACAGGTGCCGCGTCTCTTGCGCAGCCTCGGGGCTTTTGGAGCATGGCTGGTCTGAAGACCCAGGTTTGGGGAGCGCCATGGGGTTGCGGGGTGCAAGTGCTCCGTCCGCCAACGCAGAACGAGAACCTTGATCCTCTACTTTCCCAAATGCCAGTGCAAAGTTTGAACCAGAAATTGTGGTGCCCTGCACCCGTGGCCACAAGAACAGACCAGTGTGGGGCTCAGGTCCAAGTTTGTGGGGTCTCCCTTGAACCAGAAGAGCCTTTGCTTACGCCAAGAGCCAGGGACGGTTTGGCAACTAGCTACCGGCAGGGAACGAGCCGATGTGTGATGCTTTTGTTCCAGTTGTTCAAAACAGCATGCCAAACTGCCGCCAAACACCAGTTTCATCCCCAAAGTGATAGAGTCCAAACATGTCCAAACACACTTCTCCGTTGAGAAATCTAGATCTACCGATTCCATAACACTTCTTTGGGGTGTATCACTGAGCTCGCGTGAGGCTGTTTGGGGACCACCACACCTGTTACACCTCGGAGTTCCAAGGGGGTGTTTGACTGAAAAAGGCAAAAGTGGAGGGTGGATACTCCGAAGTACTGAACTATTCTACATCATGTTATATATCAATATTATTGTAAGTTGTGTGTATGTCATATATACAGAAAAATAAGACATGTATGTACACATACATGATATTTGTTCAGCAATCCATAACGCCCAGGTCGCCGCCGTGTTGACTGCTGCCATGTTGCTGGTCTCGCCCATGGTCGCAGGCACGTCGATCTGCTGACCGGGTCCGCGGTTGAACTCTGCCGCTTCCGTCGAAATGCGTAAAGATTGCGCTTGCACACGGATGCAAAGCACTTCCTATGGACTCCCTGTGTTTCTTTTGTGGGTTTGAGATTGATGGGCGTCACACAGGGTTTAGGGTTTAGGGTTTAGTATCAAGTAAAGGTATCAAGTAACAAGTTGGGTAACTGGCACATGTGCAAAGAATACCTCCCGGGACAGTTAACTTAGGTATGACCCTATGTAGGCTTTGGCATCCCACAACCTGAAGTTGACAACCTTGGAAGGCTTGCAACAGGGTATGAACTTCCACACTTGCCACTTTGCAACGTCGTATTTGCCAAATCAGGGTTTTTGCACTTCCCTGATATTGCGGAATCTCCGAACATCTCAGATATTGAAGTTGGCCTCCTTGCTAAGATCCTCCTCTTTTTGCTTTGCAACGACACAAGAAGCATCATCACAAGCTCCAAGTGATTCCTGCAAGTAGAGAGAGTTCAGTCAATCCACCTTTGAAGAATGGCAATTGGATCCGGAATCTATCATCTAATGACTTGGGATGCCTAGCATGGCTTTTGCCGGACCTTCCAGTCCACAACGGCTGCGAAACCTCCAAATGGCTGCAACTGCAATACGTCATGTATGTTTTACGGACATGGGCACACGAACTCAACATCCATATACTGATCCCTTTCTGTACTCAGTTTTTCCTTCCCCTGTCGGTGCACCTACGCAATGTTAAAATCCCCCCTATGTGCCAGGGATTCTACGTTACCATCGGGTGGGTACGACCTCGGCAAAACACCGTCCAACTTCCGCCTTCGAGTCCTTCCCAAACCAATTCTCCGTTCGGTGAGGGGCCCGGCCCTTCAGAATCCAGAATCGCTGTTGCTGGCTCTTCAAGGCTTCAAGGCCCACATCGGTTGCTTCGCCCACGCGCCAAGCACCCCGGCCGTGGGTTCCGAACGGAACGGAGCTTCCGAACGGAGCTTCCGAACGGAGCTTCCGGACAGGTCTGTGGGGCGAAGTCTGGGCCGCGCTGGCCACGGGCGTTTTGCCCTTGTTCTTCTTTGCTTTGCCCCTGGTGGCCCCTTGGCGGGTTAAAGCAGGGATTCGGGCTTGACGATGTGGAATTGACAGACATGATTCATATGATAAGTTGATTGAGGCATGTGTGAAGATTCGGTTGAAAGGTGTAGAGGTGCAGCTGAAGATTCTACATAAAGTTGTTTTTCTCCAGGCACTTCAACACCACGAGGACTCCACGCGCATTTGATCAAGATAGTTGCAAACACCCCATGCGATCACCTTCCTGTGGCAGTGGAGGACTTGCCAGCTGCGATAGTCGTTGAACCCAGCTGCACCACGATTTGCGCCGTTCAGCCCTGGACTTGCCAAACCATTCATCAGCGTTGCCGGACTTTGAATCAAGTTCGTTCCTGAGAACAAAAAGACCTCAGCATGCTGAAGGTTTATGCGAAGTACCAAGGTTTTTGAGCAGCAGTCAGATGGGGTTGTCCAAGTTGTACCAGTTCTGATTCTTCGCAGAATCCCAGTGTGCCCTCACCACAATCCTTATTTCGCGAGGTTTCAACTTCCAAGGTGTTTAAACAGGTTATTTTTTCACTGAATCATAGCTTCCTGGTCACTGACTGGCTGAACCGTAGAAATAGATGGATGCTAAATGGATGCATTGTTGGCGATTCCAACGCCCCCTGTGGGATGGGACTTGTTTTGCGAAGAGAAATCTCTATGAGCACCATAGTTGAATTGGTCAGATCTTGGAAAGGGGCACTCCCTTCCCAAAAAACGGACTGAAATTCGACTTCGAATTAATTTTTGCCCGCAAGTCCAGATGTGGAAATCATACGCATCCCATAGATTGTAACGCATAGATCGCAACTGCAGCAGTTGACGAATGAAATTGCAGGTGTCCAACTTCAAGCAAATCAGCTGTGCCCCTTATTGGAGAGTCCGTCAGATGTGCCATGCAGGAGACATCTCTTTTTTTCAGGTGCTGCTGCGCCGGGCGCGTGCCCGGAACCGGGTTCCGACCCTGGCCCTGGCATTGGGGCTGGCGACGCAGAAAGGGGCGCTTGTGCTGTGGAATCTCATAGGCCAGGAGGGTGGGAAGCGGCAAAAGAGTGTTGGTGAATCCAGATTGCTTATCCGGATCTCTTCCTTCCTTGTACTTTGTTAAAGCAGCAATCAAACCTTGTTTGTAGAGCCACCGATTCTATTACATTGCGTCTAAAGCAATCAGTGAGCTGGGACCAGAAGAATGTGTTGATTCTTTGGAATATTTTGTAGCTCAAAAAGAGGACAGGTCTGACACGCAGGGCAGTTCGAATGAACAAACTAGTCTCAAAGATGGACTGGCTCCATGGACTGTTTGGCCACCTCCGCCATCTCACTTCAGAATCCTTTGTGGTGGGCCTAGAGCCTTGGCTGGGCGCACTCTGTGGCATTTGGGCGGCCGTGCTGTGCAGCCGGGTGGGGCGACCCCAGGGGACATTGGAGGGGCCGACTGAGCAGACGGCAAAGAAAACATGTATATATAGAGTGCAGAGAGTAGTGCAGAGTTGATGTGGATACCTCCCAAGAGGTTGGTTTGTGTGCGATCTTCAACATTTGGGTTGATGCGATTATCAATTGTTTGCAGATGCCGTTGTTGTTGTTGTTCCCATCCAACGAGACGTTTTTGCTGTTCAGGAAATTTTTCTTGAACATGTTGTGGCTGTTGTTACTTCCGCAAGCCTGCTCTGAGGGTTTGAGGTTCAAAATTGCAGTCGCAGGGCAGGGCCAAGAGAACAACAGTGCAAGGTAGGGTGGATCGAGCAAGGTACGCATGATTGGTTGGCACAAGTAGAGCGAGCTATCCAAAGATTATAGATTTTTTGTTGGCATGTTTTTAAGAGTGTGTTGATTCTGTGTTGGTATTTATGTGACGTGCCAAGATCTTACAGTTACATATAATTATACAAGCATCAATCACATGGTGTAAGTGAATTTTGCTATTCTATCACACACGGCATCACTCTTGAGCATGAGAAGTAGGACTGGCACCAGTGACTCACCAGACGATTTTCATTGGATTCATTTGTACCTCAGTGGTTTAAAGGCCCAAGTACTGTCCTGTGCCCAAGTATGGCCCTTTTGACCAATTCTCTCAATCTGGATCATTTTTGGATCTTAAATCTTGCCCAAATGCCCAACTGTGGTCCAACTTGTCTCAAACAAAGCAGCACACGTCACGCACCTCCCAGCAGTGCCTCTAGTCTCAGAAGTCAAGTCATCAGTCCACCTTGGCGTTTCCAAAAAACCACCTTCTCTCGTCGGAAAACCAATGGCTCAAAAGCCTCGGTGTGGTTTTCCTCATTCGACCGAGGCGTTGGTCTGTGACCGTGACGGCCAACTTCCGATGGGCTCCTCTACCCCAGCCACGGTGTAGTCCGATGGGCGAGTCGCGCTCGCTCTCGCGCTCGCGCTCAGTTCAGTGCTGATAGACCGGGGTTCGCCAGGCATCAGACCAAGCAGTGGATGGGGTGTAGATCAAAATGATATGTTCAATGTGTCGAAACCCATTCATTTAACGTATACTGTCTAGCATACAGTATCTATATGTCCTAGTGATTTCGTAGGATTCCTTCCCATGTTCAGAGACTTGTGTGTCAGTTCGACTCTGGAAAAGTCATAATCAGTTGCGATGTGCAGCTTAGGGCCATTGTACATACGACGGACCGGACCGCGGCTTAGCTTGGAAAATGGATGAACGTGGAAGCACCTATAATATAAGCGAGCGTGGAATGTCCAATCCCACGTGAAGAGGGGGGATTTCATCGGAGTCCTGTCACCACAACATACCAGCTGCTTTCGTGCTTCCCCCACTGTCTCAGACAGGGATTCGGACATCTAACATACCCTGGCAAAGGCTGCTGTTAGGCTGAGGTTTCTCCGCAAACAGGTTCTTGCCCACTCCTTGGGGCTTTATGGCAGCGGGTCATGAATGACCGGTGACAGGACCTGACCTGTGTGATGAGGATGAGCAGCCAGCTGAGTGAATTGAGGATGAGGCGGAAGTATGGTTTGAAGGATGCTTGAGATGGTATAGATGCAGCAGGAAATCATCATAGTAATGTGGGTGTCTCCAAAACTGTGGTGGGAAGCAAAGGATCCGTACAATAGATGAACACCGATTGGGCGAGGATACAAGCCGCAACATCAGTTATTTTTGTATACCTTTGATTACCTTTGTGTTTTCCACTCAACATCTCACCCAGCTCTTGCACATGGAAAATCGTTCATGAAATGGAACCACATGATTGGAAGGCGGAACCTGTAACAGTCGGTAAACAAGCAAATCACTAGAGAAAGGCCTGCAACTGAACCATCATCCACTGCTGTTAGGATAGACCCAACACATTGGACCCTTCTTACCGATCCAACGAGTTCCGCTTCATGCGCCATGACCGAAGAAACGAGTGCGCTCCTGGCGGAGCTCACCACGTTCTTGCGGGACGAGCCCGAGTGACTTGCCCGATGCATCCCGTCATCCTGTCATAGAGTAATCGTCCCTTTCCGGGCCATCAAGGAGCATAGTAGGATGATAGCAAAGAAAGAGATTCTTTTTTGGGGTGCACGAGAATGAGACTACAAGATGTGGATGTTTGCCGTTTGGACTCACACCCAGCTCTATCCGAGGGTGAAACAGTCGGGGCTTGGAGTGCGAGGTGCTGCATCATTGTAGGGAGTCAGACAATCTTGGTGAGGCATGAACAGAAGCCTAGAACCCTTGCCCTGATTTGATAGGAGAGCACTGTACCCGCAAGTCACAAAGGTTCTAGAAGAGGTCTCTTACAGCTTCGGAGCATGCAGCATGTTCTTGATCTCAAACTGTAGGTAACATGTTCCTTTCGGCTCGAAATTGTCAAAGGCTTTGCTATACACATTCTCAACCGAAAAACCTGAAATTCTTGGTTGCCAACTGGATGACTCAATCAGGAGCCACACATTGATGCCACAAATTTGATCCAAATGATTAAACATGTTTGCTACTGAATTTCCATTACTTCATTGCTATTCGGACCTCATGGACCGCCAAAACCACTGGGTTGGTATTCGGAAAATGTCGAAACCATCGGTCAATTCTCAGGTTCCATGTTTGTTTGCGGGAGGGTAATTGTAGAATATCCCATTGAGTAGATTGAGTGCAGTTTCGCGTGTCTTGCATCACCTACGCTGCAAGTTCTTTATTTTTTGGTATCTATTCCAAGACATTCGGTCAATTGACCACAGCACGACGTGCTGACACCTACTTTTGCCTTGTTTGTTTGGGCTTGTTGGACCTGCTGAATTAGATCAATGTTTGATCCCGTCTCAGGCGTCTTGAAGCAGCAATGTAGAGCAAAAGGCACAGTGCAGGATAAGAGACCTCCAATCCATATGTTTGAATGTGATTTCCCGCGCAAAAATCCTTGAAGGTGTCAGCTCCTGCTATGGAAAGAGAAGCAAGCAGCAAACCCAACAAAAAAGAGCTATATAGGTCTTTGCGGTGGGGGCCAGAGAACATTTGTCACGCTCGTGGTTCGGTTCTGTCGGCCAGCTTTTTGGTGCTCATGATTCAGCATCACTTTTCTGTCGGGCATCGTCACCACGATCATCACCTTGTCCTTCCCCACTTCCCAGGTTGGTGAAAGTGAACCGCCAGCTTAAGGACAAAGGAGTGAGGAAACGGGTTGGTGGACTGTCTAGAGATTTGCCAATGTGTGTGAGAAACATGAGGAAACGGGTGCTTTGCGTCGTATAGTTTTTGCGTGTGTGGATTTAGAGACTCATATTGATTGAGTGACAGTGTAGCTGCTAACTTGAAGCAATGTGAAGGACACATAAAGCCATCAAGGTCGTGTCCGTAAAATTGAAGGGGAGAGATGGGACAACGGCCTCTTTTGACGGAAGGCTTTTGGGATGCTAATAGCTGAGAAGGTTCATGTTCACGCCCTCAAGGTCGCGTGCAGAAGCTTTCTGCATTTAACAAACGGTCAATCGCGGAAGTTTCTTCAATCTGTTTTGTTTTCATCGCCAGCTGTTCAGCTTGTTTGCCGCCGCCATGCGTCTCACCGAGCTTCAGACCGGACAGGAGACCGAGATGTGAAGCTGGTGGAGTTTTCTCCCTGGAGCCAGGCATCCGATGCGACGTCGACGGTCACGACGTCAGGGACCATGAGACTGGACCAAACGACGGACGGAGGCGGATGAAACAGAGGGATTCCATGACCGGATGGGGACTGGAGGATCCAAGTCATGGGGACGAAACAAAACATGCGGATGAACACATGTGCAAAAGATTGATATGTGATATGGGGATCAAGAAACATGACATGGACTACTCAGCAAACGTTTATCTCTTCTGCGTGTTTTCCGCGGCGGCCTCAAAGACCTTCTTGCTGGATGTGGATAGAACTCATGGCGAAATCAAACTTCTACAGTGCTGTCTACAGTGCTGAGAAGCAAGACCACATGACGGTTTCCTGCACAGACAGATATATATATATATTAATATACATATTATATACATCAGTAATTAGTGGTTTGTTCAATATGTGTTTGATGGTCATGCAGCAACATGTGTCATGAGAAACTCAATTTGGTACTGTGTAGTTCATGTGGTTGTGTGCCGCTGTTACTTTGATTCGTTGCCTCCAAAGGGGTCATCTAGCTCACAGGTAGATATGAGAAATGAGAAGCAACCGTTGCGCGAGCCAGTAGCCTGTTCCTCCCGCCCAAATTAGCCAGTAGCCAGGAGACCAGTCCTCCTAATCACCCAGACATACCCTACCCAGACCAACCAATCCACCGCACATGCGCTCGGAAGCTTGGGCAAAATGTTGTCATGCGCTCTGACCAATTAAGCCATGCCGTTTTTGTATAGATCTCCACAAACACACTCTGAGAGACAAGTAGAAATACAGTGTTTTCGTATGTTTTGCAAGTTCCTTGTTAACTGGACAATGCAATCCAACCAATCGTAGCCAACGCCAATCCAACCTGCTCGGATTTTCTTTGGAGCCTCCCACAACACCCACAGGTACCGGTCACTTGGCAGCGTATACAATCTGGGTAACCGCTGCAACCAGGTTTGGAACTGTGCTGAATTATGAGTTTCTGATGTTCTATGGGGTTCCCACTTCGTGTGTATGACTTGCAAGCCCCGCCCAAATCCTTTCCTCGTGTTGGTTCTTCGGTTCTTCTCATGAATGCTTCGACTTAGACTGCCACTTCTACCCTTGGTGATCAGAGGATTGAAAAAAAACACAATATATACATTACGGCAGGGTTTGAGACAGCCCGTATAAGCCCCTGTTGTTGCTTTGGGAACTTGATTTGTGCAGGGTGGACGGCGTTGACCCACACCACTGCATTGTGCATGACAGAACCCTCGCTGGATTTGTTTCACACAGCCTGAGTCTATGCTTATGGAGTTTCAGGGTTTCGAAGCAAACATGGAGCCAAATAATATTATATAGAGGATAGAAGTCACCCAAATAGAAAGGTTCTCCATGTTACAAGCCTCGTGTGTTAGTTGAAAGATGTTCGAAGTGAGGTGATGAGATTTGCATAAATTCATTCAATCTGCCGTGATAGAGCACCTCATAATTGGACAGGTTCGTTTGACTTTTGGAGGCAATCCAGCCTTTTTGTTTGTTTTCGCAGTAAATGATTTCAGTATATAAACGCATTTGTGAGTGACAGTGAGAAGGTCAAATAAATTAAGTCAAGCCACCAAGCCAACCTATCTTTTGCACAACCCAAGGATGAGCTCATCGAACGAGCGCGCAGCTTAATTTTTGCGGCTCGGAGTTTGGTGAGCAGAGCTGAAGTGGCGGAGCGGTAGAAATACGTCCGAGACAGATGGGCCGTCCTTACACGTCCAGGCCTTTAAATCATCAACATTGGTCATGGTGTTAAGGATTGAAAGGCTTGATCCTCAAGAAGATGCTTTTTCGTTTGGACTGTGGAATTTACCCGGTAGAGTAGGTGCTTGTATGCTGCTTGTTGTGTGTGGAGTTTTGACTAGATTGACTGGATTCTTTTTGCCAACCCTAAGACCACGGAGGACTTCTTTCGAACATCATCTGCGTTGCTGGTAGAAGTTGTGTCTGGAAATGCAACCTAGATACCTGGGGCAGATGCTTCTCACCTTGCATGTCTCAAGTTGTGTGGTCATTGCTTTGCCCAACATTCATAGGGCTGGACTCCTGGACAGTCTGTTTTCCCCAAATATCCTGGGCTGTGGTGATCACAAGATGAAGCATCAGTCTGGCTGTATCCCTGAAAACTGCACAGACATCGGGACTGCAAGACAGAATCTGTGGAACATTTCACAGCGGACTGTCATCCCTTGTTGTTCAGACAAAGACAATGCTTGCTTGCATGGACCATGGATGTAACTGGAACGAAATGGCCCCCATTGGACATTGTGCACTAGAATAAGGTCTCGAAATTCGTGGTAGTAAGTGTGTGCTTATTGTTGGACATCCGAGTGGTGGT